TTGAGGTGAGCACAAACAATGGAGAGATAGGTAGTAGTACTGAGAATTAAAACTATGCTACTAAATGAGTTGGTAGACCCATGACTAAGGCCTGAAAGGTTAGCTACTACTAGTGATTAGCATTAAAAACGTAGTCAGAATATAATTTAATGTCACATTGTAATTTTGAAGGCACGTTGCAATAATGTACTACTTACTTATAGGTATTAAAGTGGTCAATGGAAAAATTACAAACAATTTGTGGAGTTATTTTTTCATATAACGTTGCTATGCATTAGTTGGCCGTCGCATGCGAGTTTAACGAGCCGCACTATAGATAAGCATTTGAATGGCATTTGCAGTACGTACGCAAATTTTAGTTACTTCCTCAATTTTTGTAAGAAAGAAAGAAAGTAAAGAATGTAAAATTTATTTGTCAGAATGTAGTTTTATCTTAATTAATGTCTCATACATTCTACCGAATCGGTGTACAAATATTACACTTATTTTCTACTTATATATTTGTGTACTATTCCACAACAATGTTTTTGCAATATTTGTCATCGAGAAAATCTTTATTTGTGTAGTAGCACTTATTTAACAGAAACTTAAATAATTTTGTTTTGAATGACGTTAGGTTAAGATTTTTTAGGTCATTTGGAAGCCTATCATAAATTTTGATAGTAGTAAGCAATGGCACTTGTGTTACGATGGGGACACTTTGTCATCTTTAGCTGGAACTGGAATACTTTCACTGTTGAAGTCTAAGTCTAATTAGATGGTTGGCCATAATCTTTACGCTTGATTAGTAGTCAGGATAGGGATCACAGTTTAGTAAAATTTTAGAGAATACTGCTGACCATCCCTCGGGCACTAGTCACAATGCTAGGGCATAATGAGTATAAAAAAATACAGATAATCTTCAGTCTTGCAATTAACTTGAAACTTTTTCTTTGTGTAAAGATAATAATTACTTATTTACCATTACAACATACATAATGCCCTACATACCAGTTTAAACGATATATAATTTTATCCTGAATGACCTATACAAGTCAATCGCCAACCCGCATTGAGCAAGCGTGGTGATTACCTAATGCTCAAACCTTCTCCGTGTGAGAAGGGGCTTTGCTCAGCAGGGGGCATTATAGGCTGTTGATGGTTGATGGACCTATACAAGGACCTTTAATGACTAGAAAGTGCAAACTTTTTGTTTTGTTACGTTATCCTCAAACCATAATCCACACTCAGTTTTTATCTGAAGTGTATGGTGATTATGATGGGTGTGTACTCTGTCAAGAACTCTGACCACTCCAGTTGCACTATCTTGCATATTAACAAGATCACGAGACGCCTTATCTAGTGACAGATATTCCTTGTCTGATTATCTGAACATTTAGGACGAAATGAATTAGAGCATTAAAATGTTAAAAGTCTGGAGAGGTGTTAGTTATGAAATAGATTTGTTTTGTTTTTTTTGTCAATGGGTTTCTCGTACTTTTCATATTTTATTTGATAGGATTTGTTGGTAGCATTTACTACAAAAAATTAGGAGTGCTAATATTTTTTCTTGCACAATATAGCGTAATTGATAAGAGCAAAAATGTCATGTAAATATGATCTGATCATTGAGGACAGGAATCAACTCGAAAAAAAAACATGGTTAGGAATTTAATAGTACATAGATCTAGTCTTATTGACTTTCATATAATGAAAGGTTACTATTTTATAAATGGTGATTGCATAACTTATTAGAAGTTGTTTGAGCGGAAAATTATTACTTTCCAACGTATTTATTATTCTGCTTATGCATTTTTGACTTACATAACCACTCCTTAAAAGTTTTAGTGTAGTTTATTTTCGATACTAAATACGAAGAAGACAACGTGTACAAAAGAATAAATGAAGTCTTTGTTGATTTCATAACATATTAGGAATAATTGACTAGTGTCGTTTCAATTAAAGAAGCCTAGTCGTGTTGCATCACAACAGCCTGTGTGATAAACAAAACTGTAGTAGGGCCTTGTCTACTATGTGATACTTACCTAATTCGTTGTCACAGTGGGCTGTGGTCTTTTTTCTGCCTGCCTTTTCCTATCTTAGCCAGATTCTATCTATCGATCTACACTAAATCTTAGCCAGATTTGACTGCCATCGACCCTTTACAATTTCCTTAGAGTGATCTAGTAGCTTGTTCTTTTCTTGATTAGACCCGTGGTCACAATTTTCGCCGTACAGCAAAGCGAACAAGACCGTCTATGACACGACAGACGTATCATAGCCCTCGTACTCTCCAAAAGACCATGGGGCTATAATTTATCATTAAAATTCTAGAATGTTCCACAACAAACGCAGAAGATGCGTCATTAATTATGTGTGTAGATATTATTAATGCATTCGTTACTGGACCGAGCAATAAAGCTTCGTGTATGTTAATGAAATAAATGATTACGTAGCCTCTCGATTGTATACTTCTTGCATTTGTATGTTCACGATGTCTTTAATATTATGTCGGTTTAATAAATGTACACTTACAGGGAAAGGCGTACCTTTCTAGGTGTGCTATGTTATTATAATTATAATACCTACCTATTTGATTATACAAAGAAACAAGACTTTTCCTATTTGAGTCCTATAATTCGACTTTGAGGATCGATGCAAAATCCTCTGCTTGGCAGTGGTATTCACAATCAACTAAATCAACAACACAGTAAAGAGTACATGAACTGGAAATAAAAAGAAAAACAAATGTACAACAAACAAACTGGCGAACCGCTATCTAATGTAAATAATGGAAAAGTGTAAGTAATTTACTGGGGAAATAAAATACTAGTAATACTAACGTTCACCAACGAGTTTCTAGCGTCAGGCATACTGGATGGCTGGACCGACAGGTTTCACCACTTTCTTATACCAGTATGGTATGATTAAAATGCACTGCGATTGCACATAAACTAAGTATTAAGTGGATAACCGTATTTGGAATCTCAATCAATCGTAGTCTTGCAAAAAATAAACACTTAATTTTAGTTAACTTTTTAAAGTTTTTACTGGTTAAACACTGATCGTTTCACAGTCACTTTTCATGCGAAATGAGTATGTAATTAATTTGTCCATTTAAGTTGTTAGGAGATTGTATTGAATTCGAAACACAGACTTGCGTTCTCACTGTATTAAGTCAATGCAATCTATGACCAACATTCGATCTTATATTTTCTATGACTTAATTATTGAACCATTAAGACAATTAAGTCTTAAGTGCTTATAATTATGAGAAGCGGTAGTTCTTTTTCTAGGATGATGATCAGTAGGTTCTGGCTACTAAAGAAAACATGCTTTTTTTGCAGCTTCTAATTGAGATTAACTATGAAACAAATATTAATTAGGTATGCGGTTTCGTGTGTCTAACTTGTTTTATATTATTTTAGTATTATCAAGATTATAGAAAGTATAGAAACATGTCTCATATTTCAAAGGTGCTTTTAGACAAATGCAATATTAATATGTACATACCTATATCTATGTAACCATATTTCAAACAAAATTTACAAGGATTTAGTTATTGTAGTCATTATGCCTTAAAAATATTTAACGCATTTTGGCGCCATTTGCTACAAAATGCACATTTTTTCAGAATGTTTTTGTCTCTTGTAAAGTGTAATTAGTTTTCATTATTAGCTCTATTGTAAGCAGAAGTAATTTGTTCAAGATATTTACGCTAGATATATATTTGCGGTACAAATAGTTGTAAGCAAACAAACAAACATACATTCATATATGTCGCTATTTTAATCTGTTTTTCATCTAAATATAACTTTTGTTGTATTAAAGAATTAGTTGCGAAACCATGTGACTGAGGTTTGTATTAAAAATTATGGTTTTTGAACTACCACGTTGGTCTTATGGTTAGTCGTAATTGTTGGGTTCCTATCCTCAACACCCGGGTAGTACCTAACAAAATATTATGAACTATTTTTATGTCACTTCTCAAATTCTCTTTCAAATATGGGATGTTGTTCGATTCAGTTTAAAATGACTAATTCGCCCAATGCATTAAGTCCACCTGTACACACTTTATATATAAAGTTAAAAAAAATTAACGTATTGCAGTAGTATAAATAAAAAGTTTTTAAAGCATACCTTTGCCCTATTCTTTTATGGAAAAATGTGTAATATTATGATGTGTTATGTTCTCCAGTCATTCTGATTACGATAACCATAAGCCCTAACATCGGCCAGTAATCTCTGTTTGTCACGATCTCAGTAAATGTGATAAATGGATCACATGGTTTTCGCCTCAAAGTCAAAGCAACTGCATTTATCATTTATTCAGGTAATAAGATAACAAACGGGTCAGGATATTGTCAAATATTTTAATATTATTTACTTAACAGATCAAAGATGGACGTAAGCCGAACGGAATTCTTTGTTTAATATTCGTTAAAATACAATTATTGTCGTGAAAAAGTTTTTGCCCTTTGTTTAGTCTTATTAGCGCATGCAGTATTATGGAAACAGTTCCATATATGAAAATATTGAGATCATAACTCGGCAACATGATCATGAGTCGAAATTCATCAGTCACATTCAGTAGTCGATTTTAATAAAATTATCAAGTGTTTCAGATGTTTACTAATTGTGCCAACAATTGGACCAACATTTCTTCACCAACTGTTTGTCAATAATACAATGTTCGATTGTATTATAATTTGTGGTACATCACTCGCGTGTTGTGGTCTTGTTAACAACCGTATTACATGGAAGCGTTAATTTGATTGTTTTGTCTACAATTCTTAACCGAGCGTAGGTACGTCAGAATCACGAGGACCGCGGAGTATCATTCCGTTTACTAGTACACAAGTACATGTAACTACATGAGTAGATACCTATTGCCTTGTGAATTAATTCATAATTTGAAATTCGCGCATTAATATTTATTATTATGTACAAACACGTAAGTGAATTAATTTTCCTTTAAGATTTCTTTAATGGGGCATAGATATGTAATAAATAAAACTTACAGATGTAGCAGATCGTGATGTTCTCCCGGGGTCGCCGGTCACCTGCAGGTGCAACTTGACAGCCTCCACGCCGGATCTCTTGGTGCGCTCGCGAGCCGCGGCAGCTGATTCCGCGGCACCAACAGAGTTCGCGTGCCGTTTACCGCTGCGCGACACTTCCTGCTTCACTCCCTTCTTATCCTGCTTTCCTCGAAAATCTTGTTTAGCTCGACGATCGCGCGTCTTCATTTTAGAATTTTACCAAAGTTCATTCTAACGTTTCACTCAATCATTGACCGATATGTTCACTAACGTCGAACACAATCCAATCGGAAGCTGGGTCGAGATAAGATATTTGTGTTGAAGGTGAAAGATCCTAGATAAAAAATGTTACACAAATCAGGTGGTTTGTATACGTGACAGAGAAGGCCCTTTATGTTAGCACCTCGAGGTGGTCACGTAGAGTCCTTGAACTGGCACGAGAGCGTGGTGACGGCGCGGTGGTGGCGCGGTGGTGGCGAGACGTGTGTTTCAGTATTTACGTCGCCAAGATTAAGTGGTGAAGCGTGGAGCAGTGTACGGGCGTGCGCCGGGGTCCGCTCGGACTGGCGCGGCCGCAGCGTGCGCGCGCCGCACTCCTGTCTCTGGCTTGTTTGATCTCCGTCTCTTAATTGAAGGGATCTCGTATGACACTATTAGATCAGTCGCTATCACAACATTATTAACACTAATGCACAACACAATTATTGTCGCTGACCTAGTAAACAACGTTCATCTTCTCATTTAGTCAACATTTTTTTTTAATTCTTGCGATCCAAGTACAAGTCCTACATTCTAGTTCTTTCCATACTTGAAAAAACCTGCTTACCCTTATTAGTAAGTAAGTTAAATGCTGAGTCTAAACGCCTAAGTATCTAAGTTAAGTAATAGAAGATTACAAATAAATATTAGATCTGATATAAAAATGATTAACATGTACCGATCTACGCACTTGAAGGTTTCCTTATAAACTAGTGTTATTTTTATCAGAAATGAAAAATTTATTAATTCTCCGGAAAATCCTTTTTATTCACAGGTGTCGCCATCTTGTACAAGTTGTTCACAACTACAAGTCACTAGAGGTAACACAATGGGGTGACGCGAAGAACACCTTTCATGGGAAAATATACTAGTTAATGCATGAAAATGGTAACAGATGGCGCTACTGTTCGCATTATAGATTTTTATTCGAAAAAAGGTGAGTGTCGGGAGATGCGTATAAATGCAATGATATTATAAAGAAGATACGCTACGTTCATACTAAGCGGCGTCCAAAAATTGTTGCGTTCTTATTACAAATGTACTTAAATGTCATTTTCAACTACGTGCGACAGATAATACGGAAAGTATGGTACAGAAAGAGATAGCTATTATAAAATTACGACAATTGTCTGAATTCGTTCGCAACAATTTTTGCGTGCCAGTGCGATATCTACCTCTTTTTATTATTTATAATATCATTGTATAAATGTCACCACTTTTTAATTACATTAGGTTAGGTTATAATCGCAAACATATTATTTAATAATTTTCAATTTCCTCGTTTTACCCACTATTTATGTGTATCAGTTATTGGCATTTTTTTATTTATTAACTCGTTGGACGGGTGGTCGCAAGTGCGACCGCCGTGCAAGGGGTCTCAGGTTCGATTCCTGGATCGGGCAAAGTAGCACGGAGTCTGGAATTGTGCCTGGCAATAGGCTCACCCTAATACATTGGACTCATAACATAAATAGTGAAAAGTGGGTGTCACAATCTACAGTGGCAAATTGTGCACCTCTGCCTACCTCTTCGGGGATAAAAGGCGTGATGTTATGTGTGTTTTTTATTGAATCTACTATTTTGTAAGAATTCAGCAATTGACGAAAATGAAAACACAACAAAATCTTATCAATATTAATTTATATTTGACTAATCTCACATACAAAAATCTAAGTGATAAAATTAAATTATATAATAGATACAATACATAAATACAATACAATTAACGAATTATTTCTATAGGATCGTTGAGACTGAGAAATTTAGGGTTGCTACTAATTTAAGTTTAATTTCAGTAACAAATATTGATACTCGGACTTTAATATTAAACACGTTATTGCACTTAATGTTAATATTGTTGATCTTGCATCGACCATTGTTTTTATCTCTGTGTCACAAAAGGTCTGGCTGGAGGAAAATGCCCATGGCATTAAGCCCACCTTGTACATTAGTATGTGCATGAAGTCTTTTAAAATATAAGAAACATATTTCATGGTATACTTATGTCTTTTAAAATCGACACTTAATCATGCCATGTGATATTTTTTGTATATTGGTCAGTTTACTTCTTCAAGTTAATGACTGAGAATGAAACTTGAATGAAAAAAAAATAAGGCCGGTTTCACAGGTACTTAATTAATTACAGCGTCTATAACAGCATCCAAGTACTTTCATAAAGCCTATAAAACTGATTGTAAATAACAGAAATAGGATTTTTATGAATATTAACTAATAACTACTACTAAATATGGCGGGTTTCGTTTCTATAATTTAAGTTTAATACTTAGCCATTATCGAAATATAAAATTATGTTGGTCCAACATTTCGAAGCTCTGAGGTTAGAGGTGGTTCGATGCTGGTCATGTAGATGACCAGCGATGTGACTATATTATATACATACGTAATACTATTTCATACAATAAAGTATGTTACAAACTATTTGTATAAAATAAATAACCTATGTTAAAATGAGATCCTTTCGTTGTATATCGTTTGTTAAGATTCGGATTCTGAAACAAGAGAAACGATGCATTAAAGATACGTAAGTTAAATTCACTATTTCTACTAGTTTACATAAAGGTAAGTATAGGCATTTCTTTGTTAATAGGTTCAGTGAAAGTGAGAAGAAATTTTGAGATACATAAATAAAAAATCAGTTTGTTTCACGGTTTTAAATTATAGACCAAAAATTCTATTGGATACTTAACGAAAGATTGCATTAGTACGCAAGTGTACCGACAAGACGCCTTAAGTACAGCAAATTAACAACTACAAGGTGTAAATCCTAAAGTCTTCAGAAAGTTACAATACCTAATTCAATATCTAGTTACACGTCCAAAGTCTGAGCCATTGCCAAAGTTAGTCTACTGTAGCTGGCCATACCGTACGTATTAATTGGTAGCCTAAGAAGCTGACTGAATTTCTATGGATTAAATACTAAGAACACGATACGAGTTTGGCCTGGAATAGTAAGGCTGAATCTAAAGAAGCCTGTAGTAATACGTTTTAAAACTTTTCTTAAAGTTTTCATTTTAGCACTGAAGTTTGTTTCTCTACCATAGGGCTCGTACACAAAACTGTGAAGCGATGCAATGCGAATTTGCAATACAAAAAATTACGATGCGAATTGCTGCGACACTATTTCGTGCGACAAGGGGTCTCCCAAGGTGACCATTCCTTCGACGACCGTCAACCGTATTAAACGTATTTTAAATTGAAAACTAGGTCGTGTCATGGATCGTAAAAAGAAGTGTACACTTCTGTTATGCTTAGGAGATACAGGAAAAAGAAACAAAGAAGATTTTGGAAAGATAAGATTTTGATGCGCGATGCGAATCAATTCGCAAGTTCTTCACATGCGTAGAGGGAGTTCGCACATTTTTGCGATGCGACGCCGCATCACAGTTTTCTGTACGAGTCCTTATACTGTTTACTTGGCTCATTGTATTCATTTAGTACCACTTTACTGGTCTAGTGGTTACCTACAGTTTTCTTTCTGGTTTTTCTAATATGGGATTAGTTAATTATTAAGTGACAAATATTCAGATATTCGTGAAGACGATTAGTCCGATCTAGATGTAATTCATATTAAATTTCATAAACCGAATTATCTAGTTTTTGTAACTTAAGTTGCACTCATATTAATGTACTTTCTTACTAAATATTCTTAAGATTTCAACAGTAAATAAAGCTTAAAAGTTTGCAATAATGCTAAAGAATTTGCTGGCAATTTCCTAACTAGCAATTTTACGGTTTTCCTCAGCTGTTACTATTACTAAAGAATCGTAATTATAGTGATTAACCGATAGATTGAATTTTATGAAATTGTTAGCGCAATTTACTGTTTCACTTCATCGATTAAAGTAAAATATAGCTACCTATTAATATGTTTTTATACAAAGTTATTTATATTAATGTATAGGCAACTAAGTTATTTAGTTAGAAGGTTAGAAGACAAATCTTTTGTAACCTTTGGTTGGCTCAATATCTGACCAATGATTTCTATCTCTGTACTGAATTCATTTTTTATTTTCTTACCTGCAAATCAAATAGCTCGCTGAGTACCCTTTTAGGTACAGAGACCTGCAAAGTTATTATTGATTCTCAAGAACAACGATGTTGAATAAATGGCGGACATAATGCCATTTAGAAATGGTTGGAGCACCAAAATGTCAGTGGTTTATTTATGTGTGCGTGTGTAATGGTTAAATGACTGATGTCCTTCGTGTCAATGTGTTTATGTTTTGCGTGTAAGTCTATAGTAGCCAGGTGCTTCAGTATTTGTTTCAAGAGACTGTGTCCGCCACTTTTTCACCGTACTTGCCTAACTTAAGCTACTTATTGATCTAAAAATATATGTTTTAGCCTGATAGTGCTATTCTTGGAAAAGGTTAAAGGTTATTTAAAGTGGCATTATGTGACCTTTAGAAACAGATAACGAGAAGGAATTCGCGAGGATAGTTACTGTTTTCAAATTATTATGAAAATGTATAAAACTTTTGAAGTGAAAATTTCTTTAGCGGCGATGTACACTTTTTTTAAAATTTTGGTATGAAGTATATACTCAGGTATGAAAGAGTAGATGAAATCTTTAATAGGTAGGTAGAGCAAACTTTTCTGTATTCTGAACTGAACTTTCATAAAAAATATTAATGTTTCTTTTCGTTTGTTCATCTCATGAATGACGTAATAAACTCATGAACATTTCTGTCCTAAATTTCTCCTCTAAAGTATTAAAAATAAGTAAATATCCTTACCGTTTTCACATTTTTTGTGTTTCTCCTTCAGTAGAATGGGACCTAAATGGTTGGTCAATAGGAAGCCAATAGGCGTCGTTATTAATATGGCCTGTACAATTAGTTTCATGATGTATTCCGCGTACTCCATCTGTACTTCATTGTGGTCGCCACGAGCTATGAACGCGTTTATTGCTACTGGACATAACACCGCCTGCAATAAGATGTATGCTGTTAACAGTATATACTTGATATACATAGATGCATGAACAGAGTGGAATACATTTGTTACGACGTCTACTCTTCCCGCAGTTGTCGCAAAGGCCGATCAAGGGCACTGCATAAATGACAGTAGAGCACTGCATAATTGACAGTAGGGCAGCAGCGGCTGATAAACCTTTTAGATTGCAATCTCCAACTCGCCTGTGTCGAGATTGTAGCAATTGTATATAATCTATAGTACTATAATTTAGAGTTATTCTGGGTGGAAACAACGACAATGGGCCTTTGTATTTAATTTGATATTTCGCCTAGGGTTGCACAGATCGCAATCTAAATCTTATCGTAACCGAAATGAAACGAAAAAATGAATAGGTTTCTAGGGAAATTCCGAAAAATGTAATGGGAAAGTTTAATTTGAAGTGTAAATTATAAAAAAAAGCATATATACGGTCGAATTGAGAACCTCCTCCTTTTTTTGAAGTCGGTTAAAAACAAAATTAGAATACAAATCGAAAGCACCCAGAGCCTGGAACTGTTGAATTCTTTTATTTCTGTAAGATATTAGAATCTATACAACACAAAATTCATCATTTATTACAGGATTTGTTTAGAACATGCTTTCAAGCAGTCTACATATATAGGTATATAGCTTTATTCCAGTTTTATTTCCAAAGTTTAATTTAATTCAAGTCCAACACTGAAGTACTTTTCACTTAAAATAACCACAACTAAACACTTGAAGACTCAAGCCTAACTTATTCACTTAGCAAGTCTTGGACTGAACTAGAAATGACTTTAAGAGTCATTCCTCAAATTATTTATGTACTAAGATATGATCAAAGGTCAGTCAGGCTGAGAAGTTTCGGGCGAAAGGTTGAGAAGGAATTTAAATCCATTAGAAAGTAAGGATTAACTGGAAGTGATGTCCCCACTCACTGTTCATTATCCGAAACAATATTTAAACAGGATTTAACATTTACTTAAACCTTCTTAGAGTCGCGATGCCTCGAAAGGTTTATTAACCTTTATTTATAAACGGATCTTTGGATTTGGAGACAGGTAACAATATCATTTTGTCATTTATAGGTACTTGTAGTTAAGGGTAGTTAAGTGTGGGAGATCCATGCTTCGGCACAAAAGGGCCGGCTCGATTGGAATGATACCACGGCCTCACAGAAAACCGACGTGTAGCAACGCTTGCGTTGTGTTTCGTCATGTGAGTGAGGTTACCAGAGGCCCAATTGCCCTCCCCTTCCCCAATATCCCCAATTCCTGAATCTCCAACGATCCTCAAACTTCTAATCCCCAAAAGGCCGGTAACGCACTTGTAAAGCCTCTGGTGTTCCAGGTGCACATGGGCGATGCCGATTGCTTACTATCAGGTGATCCGTCTGCTCGTTTACTGCACGCACCCTATAACTGTACCCGGTTTATGGCAATAGGCTCACCCCCTATTACATGGGACTCATAACATACATAATTGAAAGTGGCCGTTACATTGTACAGTGGCATTAATTGCCGTAATGTGCACCTTTGCCTACCCTTTCGGAGATAAAAGACGTGATGTTATGTTATGTAGACTATGACCTGACGGATAAGGATTATCTTATAGGTATTGAGAACTAATGTTCTAGGTATACTTAATTTTTATACTTATCCATACACATACCTCTACAATAGACTTAGGCACCCAAGTGCAGCATACAAATAGTCTCTCCCGCACTGTTAATGTAGTGCACACTAAGAACGCCACGATCAGCCGTACTGCCAGGCAAACGAACAGTATGCCGAAACCAACCAACATCAGCTTCGATATTGATGGGTGTATCTGAAATACATACATAGAACAAATTATACTCAAAATGACACGTTTATTACTATAGGTACGGTAAGAAAACTGAAATTTAAATAATTTTTAATTTCTTTAAAAAAACGTTGCCCCACACTAGGATTTTCTCCTGTGTCGTGGGTGCGTTTACAAACATACAATATCACATACACATGACACCCAGACCCGGAACAACAATCTGTGGATCACACAAAGAGTTGTTCCGTGCGGGAATCGAACCCGCGACACGTTGCGCGGCAGCCAGTTGCCCAGCCACCGCGCCAACCGTGCAGTCGTAGTTTATTGTCAAGAATATAGCTTTTTAACAATTAATAAGAATAATAATAAAATTTATTATCAAATATAATTGTCTAGAAATATAGGTACAGTTTTGCTTAATGCTATATAAAGTTCACAATATAAGGTGCCTGAACTAGGACATTCTGTGTTTCAGGTGAGGTTAGGTAAAAGTAATAAAATTGTTATATAGTAATATAATAACACCTAGACCGATTTGGCTGATTTGTTTTTTGTTGCGTTTGTTATGATCAGGAGAAGGTTCTTATGACAGAAAAAAACCTGCAAATCCTACGGGAACAGGAAAAAACGGGATTGCGCGTACGAAGTCGCGGGCACAAGCTAGTGATTAATAAAAGATTATTGATAAAAGGCTACCCAAGCTCTGAATTATTTTTAAAATCCAGGATATATTATCTAAAACTTATGTTCGGAAAATGTATTTATACCTTCTTTACTGGATATACATATATCAAGCTTGTAGTAGATCTTGCAAGCGCAGCAGCTGTTGCATTTGTTGAATGACTAACACAGCAGTTGGATACAGTCGTTTAAGCATCGATAATAGATATTAAAGTTCCTATATACTATTATTGCCTACTTACAGTCTTAAATTGGTAAGTATTAAGTTTATGTAGGTATCTCTGACATAATATTATTTTATTGCTTTTATCATAAACTTATACAATATTCGAAATGAGTCCTTATTTCTGACTTATCAACAAAATATCAATTTTGTCCTAATATAACGCTTGATTTACGATTTCACAAGAATGATATCTTGAAGTAATCATTGAAGTCAGGTTGTATTGATATAAAACAATAGTATAGGACTAATAGCTTTATGTATCTACATAAGTAATAAATAAAAAAATGAGGAAAATATCTCCTGTACATACACTGAATAGATTGAGCTGATTAAATGGAATGAATACGTTCTTTGCCTTTGTTAATAAATAGATAGTGAATGATGATTATCTTTTTATGATTTAGTTAGTATATTTTAATGTTGCTTCACAATATGGTGTCCTCCAGGTGCACTTACAAACACACAATTTTACTCACACAACTGTTAGGCTATCTAGAATTGATATCTTACAGAATAGCCTAACTGAAACTATAATCATACGTAACTACTAACCACGAAAAAGGTTCCAGTGAAGGCAAAGAGAGCCGGTTCGACGGATGACCACATGATGCGGTATGCGGTGGCAGCTGGATTGTTGTTTAGTTTCCAGCCTGACTTCGCCCAGTAGTGAGCTGCTGTCGCATTACAGGCTAACACTGCTATGCCACCTGTAGAATTATTATAAATAATTGTTATTTGTCCTGCCTCGTTGGCCGAGTGGTCGCAAGCGCGACTGCCGGGCAAGGGGTCTCGGGTTCGATTCCGGCGTCTTGCAAAGTATTACTGGGTTGTAAAAAAATCTCAGTAGTAGCACGGAGTCTGGAATTGTGCCCGGTATGTGGCAATAGGCTCACCCCATATTACATGGGACTCATAACATACGGAGTGAAAAATGGGTGTTACATTGTACAGTGGCATAATGTGTACCTCTGCTTACTCCTTCGGGGATAAAGGGAGTGATGTTATGGTATGTTGATATTTGTCTTTTTGAATTAATTAACATATTGATAGACAAGAATTATCATATCTATCTCGGTTTCGAATATGAAATATTTATTAGTCCTTTATTACTAGCTGATAATTAATTTACTTGACTTATATTATCCTCGTTATCATGTCTACTTAAAATGGTAATTACAGTAATTGTTAACGTTTTATAGTTGTAATCAATTCATTATTATTTATTGCTTAGTTTCTTGATTTCCTAGAACTCTAGCCAGAAAGCTAGGATAAAATAAATCTGAAATAGATTTTTCTGAATATTGTTTTCGGAAAAAAGGTTTTTGAAATCAAGCTGTAATATTGGCAATAATTAAATAACTCGATATGTCAAGAAAATAAATAAGTAATATACAAGTAGGTAATATATCAGTGCAATTTTTGTAAAAACTGTGGTCGTTAAAAATGAAAAATGTAAGGTTAATTAGAGGTTAATTTTTGTTACAAAAACGTATATCAAATAATAGACTATTCAATTAAAGATGATCAGTGATAATACGAAGTAATTATCACAGGTAGTAATAAGACAGTTTACATAATTGATAATGGATATCATTGCTTGCTGAAGTGGTTATCACGAAGTAGCGTACGAGTGCACACACTGATGACTCACACTCAGGTGACTTTTTGGCAAGTAAACGTAAATTTTGTCCATTGTAAAACAAGTATAGAATGTTTACTTTGTAGTGACTGCCTGCCTGACTGCCTCGTTGGTCGAGTGGTCGCAATTGCAACTGCCGGGCAAGGGGTCTCGGGTTCGATTCCCGGGTCGGGCAAATTATTGCTGGGTTTTAAAAAAACTCAGTAGTACCACGGAGTCTGAAATTGTGCCCGGTATATGGGAATAGGCTCACCCCCTATTACATGGGACTTATAGCATAAATAGTGAAAAGTCGGTGTTACATGGCATTGAGTGCCGTAATGCACACATCTGTCTATCCCTTCGGGATAAAAAAGGCGTGAAGTTATGTATGTATGTATATATATTGTAGTAAACTAAACTTTGGTCAATGTTAAACTGTACTTACATTAAATGCACGAGAAATCGTCTCGAGTATTTTCCCAAAATATTGTTACAATTTTCTTGTGATATCAAATCACTGGAATGAAAGATGTTGCAGTGCTGCAGACCGTGCATGGGAAAAAGCCAGCTGTCATGCAGAAACTGAGGTAGTATCTTAACTTGAACTATTTCTAGTAAAATATTTACAACGAATGAAAAGTAAACAGAATTTTAGAAAGTATGTTAGGATTGGAGTTAGTACTAAAGTAATTTAAGGGTGGTGTTATTATACGAATCGAACATAAATTAAATTGAAGACTATTAAAAAAAACACAGTTTGTTGAAATATTGTAAAAGAAGAACAGATTTTGATAAAAATTGGCACAAAGATAAATTATCATATGGAGTTTATCGATCCACATGAAAATATTCGGTTCCAATGGAAATGGATATCCATGCACTCGAAGTAGCTAGGGCGGCGATTTTTTAAATATTTGCTGATATGTCTTTCAAAACGTCCACCTTTGAGACTTAGCATTCCCTTTCAGTTCGTTTCAGTTAAAACCACGATGTGACATTCTTATCAGAGACTTTCAATCAGCTACAGAGAGCTTTCCAATCAGCTACAGTAGACAGGTAAACATTTAACAAATGGTCTATAGGAAGCAACATTTTCGGAATACTAAGTTCGAAGTCACATTTTTGGAATACGAGTCAGTATTAGATGTTTAAGTAATATACTACTACTATTCAAACTAATTCCAATACAAATATCCGTGTTAATCAAGGTCTTAATTCTAAATTCAATTAGCGGTCCTAGATTGCAGTACGATGTTAGCTAGTTCAAGCCTTCATTTTGTGACAGTTGAATTAGACTTTCATAGTGAGACAACACTGTGTGATACATATTCCGTCACTGTCGTATTAAATTACGAGTAATATTTGTATATGTAAATGTGAAAATTAACAGAAAATGTTTAATTACTTTATAACTTTTGGATATAAACCATACACCTTAATTTTAACCTAATTAACTTCAAACACAACTTGGGTCACTTCTGAAACGCCTTGATGATTTTTTTAATTTTTAGAGTAGGAAATTTTTTCTGGTCCTTATGGTCAAATAGCTTCTGAGCTACTTGAAAACCTGGTATTAATGTACCAATGCCATAAGGTTAAAGGACATACTAAATTAAGTAAAATCGCGGGTTACTCACGTGAATATACTGAGAAAAGCGACGTCACCGCGACCGCGCAAGCTGCTCATGAGGAAGAACCCCTCTATGGTATGAAACTAGTACATCTTTTTTCAGTATATTCACGTGAGTAACCCGCGATATTACTTAATTAAGGTTAAAGAAATTAAAATGCCAATTGAAGCTTTTTGGATTAATTACATTATTTACCGCGTATGTAATGCATGTATAGCTCACATTGGTGATGATTATCATCGATTTGCGTCATTGTAAAACGGTCCTAATTTATCAAAGAATGATGATACTAAATGACATGTATTATTCGATGTTGTATGAAGTTTTTAGAACCTAGTTACGTATCGCACGTGGTTATATTGTTGTGATCGTGCAAACCTGTTTCGTTGCTCAAGTGACTGCAGCCTGTGGAAGTTCGTTGAGTTTTTCATTAGATTTTTGGCAACACGCGGATTTTATCTATTTTGTAAATAGCAACAGGTTCGTGTCTATTATGCAGATTTACGTTTTTGTTTGTTTTGGTTCATCGAATAGTTTGTGACTAGAAAATCGAAGTCCCTAGTGTGATAGCTTTTTGAAAAAGCTATTGTGGCAGAATAAAATTTCATTGAAAAATATTCGTGTGTACCTTTATTCATGTAAGGAAATGTAATATTTTTATTTTATTACATCTCACAAAAATTAAAAAAAATTAAGACCAATAATAACTAACCTGTGCCACCCCACCCAAATTGTGACGTAATGAAGAGAGCACAGAAGCCACCGACGACGACGTATAGCACCCTTAGCTCCGTGACGTAAGCGTCTCGTGACCCGGGCAGGAACTTGGCGAGGCTGCCCCACATGACGCCCACAGCTGCGCCTAGGAACAGCGCACACGCCGCCTGCAAACAACTTTGGCTTACACCCGAAATTCTCCCAAACTTCGTGCCACAAGTTTGTGCCCTATACATTGTGTGGTAGACGTTTTTAGGGTTAGTTGTATTGAACATTTTTGTTATGATTCAGACCGGGAAGAGTATGTTTTTATAGCAGTAGGTACTTTTATATCAAAAACCGAGACGGTTGAAATTTTGTAATTTATAGTCGAAAATGGATTACGCAAAATTCAATAGATTTTCCAAAAATCATCTTACATTTTGTAACTAAAAATATGAAAAAGTATTGAACTTAGATAAATCGGAATGGCACTCTAGTGCAGGAGTAGGAACGGAGTGGTTTTTAGTCAGTAAGAGTCTGACACTCCCTCTCGCCTCACCCGGGCGGGAGAATTCATTGGATGATTCCCCCCTCAAAAAAAACCTTCCCGGTAATTAACAAGAACTCCGTTAAGGATAATAAAATAATAATCCACCCTTGTTATTTCACTCACCCGAATATACCGATACGCATCATCGCCCTCGTACATGATAAAGCTGTGTATGACGCCAGACACACCGACACTGAGGGCGGTGTCTGTTCCACCTGCTGTGCAGATCAGTTGCGGCCAGTTCTGACCCAGGTTCTTCCCAGCAGTCAGTTTCACTACCGTCGGCATTAGCACCGGACATGATACGGAAGCGTAGATCGATCCTAGAAGGAAACCTGCGAAGAGAGCTTACTCTCAATAATGATTGTAGGCTTCGGGTAATCAATCCTCTAAGGTACAAAATTCGTAAGATTTTTCACAAAAAAACATGTAGAACGTAGTGCCTTGACACTTTTTCTTTTCATCGATAAATAATTGCATGGAAGCGTAAACGTTTACAGTGTCAAGCTTCAGTGAACATCGTTAATATTATACAGCAAATATAATTTACTTATGCAAATGGACGGCATGTTTATTTCATATTTTACGCCGTCCCACGTACGATAAAAATTCAATATGATTAAATCATTACACTATCAACGGATGTGTCCATGTTGGTGTATGCCGAAATACGGACATACGGGCTTGGCAAATAAGAGCAGAAAAGTAAAACAAAAAGTCGCTGTTAGAAACTTTTTCGCTTTGATGCTTTGTCCGGAAAATCGGGCCGTGTAGTCCGTAATTACAGGTGTGCGCACGCAGCGGTCGGGTGGCGGTGTATGCCGCGGCGGCGTGACGGCTGCGTTCTTGTGGCGAGTGGAGCGCGTCTCAATAGTGCGCTCTATGCTCCACGTACCACGTCATGCGGCGAAAATGCATTCAAATCTTTTGCAATACGAGTTCCGCACCAGAATTTATTGAATTGGCTTTGTACCGCGCACACACCGCGCTCCATTGTGTTCGTCGGCGTTCGTGACAAATTTTATTTTATTACACGGTTTGAGGTGTTTCACGTTTTATCGAATGTTAGTATGCGGTTTTTGCAGGCTACCGTAGATTTTCATTCGTATTTCGCATCAGCTTGCGGCCAGTTAATAAATGCGCTGGGACGTTTTAATAACGGACAATAGGAGCGTTGATTTATCAGAACTAATGTGTGACACGTATTTCTATAAATAGAACGGTTGAAAATACATCACTAATTTGTCTTTCATTGAATGTTATTGAATGCAGACGAGACGAGTATTCGTATGCTGTGTATGCTGTTTGTTTTTAATTTAAAATAAGTTTGTCACAAATTAGTCAGTTTGTTTTTATTTATCTTCGAAAATAGAAATGATTTAATCAATTCGTAAAATTGATTTGGTTGCGTCTTTGTACGACAATGCAGCTGTTGGGTTTATGAAATTTTCAGTAGCATTTTGATATAATTTATACAATGTAATAAAGACTTGTTTAACTACTGATAGTATCACAGTCATAAAGCAAATACTAATTCAAGATCAAACTAGTGATGACTATGGTTTGACGTTGATATATTTATACAATTTTCCTGGATTGTAAATTGTGAAAAAAAAAGTTTAACGTCAATCTTTATTGTGTTGTACTTCCCACGAATAAAATTGCTTTAGTAATTATAGATTCAGACATAATTGTTAGGGATTTTCTACATTATTTTTGTTAGAAAATAAAAAAATGCGTTAAGTTTAATCACTTGTTCAGTTGAGCAGTTTTTTCAATCTGTAAAGATTCGGTACCTAAGATACACTACATCCATTTTTAGATGATATTCACCTCATGCACCAAAAAGTGGCTCAGCTACGGTCTAATAGGGTGTGAACTTCTAAATTAATTATTCCGTGATTGTTGACTTTTCCAGAGATGATTTCCAGATCATCAAACCGAAGTTGATGTTAAGTCGAAGTTACTAAACAAATATGTATAGAATCTTACCCCAAATCCAAGGATATCCAAGCAGTTGATTCAAGCAGATAGCGAGGGTCACAACTTCAGCTGTCCAGGGTAGCACTCCTAGCGCAGCCACTTGTTTCCAATTGTTCTTCATGTAGGTCAAGTTCCATCCCAGAGACCCTTTGCCCAGGATTATGAATGGGTATATTTTTCTGAAACAAAATGGGTGAAGTTAATACGTGATTTTTTTTGTGTAAATCCGAAGATGTCATAATATATGTCAGAATCTATTTTCGTGGTTAAAATATTTTTTCTACTATAATGACAGAGAGTTATCGATAGATTGTAATATATTAGTTTTATTATATTACAATACGTATTGCTGCAAATATGCACCTTATTTTGTGTTATAGCTCTGTCAATTACTCAAACAACATTGAAAATTAGACAAATAATTATGTGACACCAGGTCTTTTAAGTAAAAAAACTGACTTTTTCAACGCTTATTCGATTTGTATTGTAACTTTCGTGAGACATACTAAATAAACTAGTATCGGCTTATTACGTCAGTAAGCCGAAAACATAATTTGCGTATACGATTATTTAATCCTTGTTAGTAAAATTACAGGTTATTTTCCAAAAACTCACCTCATAAAGCTATCAACTTCAGTATAGTGTCTCATATCCAGGTATCCAATGTTTCGTGCGATCATGCCAGTGACTAAAGCTGCCAGTAACGGTGGGAGTGTGGTGGTTATCTGCAGGAGTTCCCCAGTCGCCCAAGCTATAGCCACTACCACCGCTGGTTTAAACCACCGTCCATTCCAACTCCATTCCTCTCCAAAAGCACACCATAGAACCGCCCATGATGCTAATCCTATATTACAAGAGAGGTGAATATTAAAAAAAGAAAACCATTTATTCGGCACATTACATTAACATGAATAAAAAAAATAACCATTTGGTTGTATTGTGTCACCATTTTCATGATCACGTGGTGGTAAGCGGGTTTCAGGTTGTTTTTCCGGGTATTTTGGGCCATTGATTTTTTAGTTTTTGGTTATTTTCAGTCCCTGCTAACATGATACCTATGTTTGAAGGGTTAAAAATATTTTTCTCGACCATGTAGTTACTTGAACCCCGAATATGTTACTCGGCAGCAGTAAATGTGCCCTTTCGACATAAGAACCGGCCAGGAAGTAGAAATGTGTGAAAGATCAGCACCAATATGTTTACGTCATAAATCAGTATATTGCAGATTTTTCTGCCATACTAACGAATTAAAAAGTTGTAAGCCTCTGGCAACTTGTTACAGCGGCTTTCACGGATTAACGCGAAATAATTGATGGTCGATATTCCTAACTATACCAGGCTATTTTCTAAACTCTTCTACAAAGCGTATCAATTGAGCTTCGACATCGATTCATATTGGTATTTTATATTTTCACTCCAACATAGTATGATCCCGATATTTCTGGGAAATAGAAAACAGGTTTACCTATTTATTTAATGGATATTTATTTGTTTGTTACTTGTTTCATTTATGTTACTGGTTCTATTTTTATAACAGTGGTTGATTTCTTAATTTTTTACACTTTTTATTTGTTTTACCAAATTAATTCATTCCAAATAAGTCTCATTTTTGATAATGTCGAAGAGGACTAAACCTAAGCCACTAAACTAATGCTCTGTAGTTGCATTTATAACCATTCGCAAACGATGCGATACAGTCTATTTTATTTAGTAATCAATCTTTAGAATTATTGCGGATATCATTCGCTTATTCAAATATAAACCTTGTGTACACACAATTATGGAGGCAATTAGTGTGTAGTTGTAATATATTTAGATTCTCATCGAAAATTAACTTTATATTCCTCATTATTATGTCTACAAAAAGTCATGTGAGAAGTTAACAAATACTTAGGTATTATAATATTATCTAGAGTGACGTATAACCTAGCGTACTCCCGTTATGTTTACAGATATGTAGAGATTGTTGGTAGAAATGTAATGAGACGTAATGGCGACGATAATAATTACCTAAGATGTTCACACCTAAAAAAAAAGAGCAGTAAGTAGATTTAAAACTTTTAATAATAAAGGAAATTCTTCGATGGGGCTTTGTGAGAAACCAACTAAAATGTCTAAGAATCAATGAACTTTTCTATCAAACATGTAGCAATTCCTACAGAGACTTCAATTTAGGTAAAGTGCTTATATCACTTTAAATGGATATTTTTAAGATGCCGTACCTACTTATAGGATCGCGAAGGTGTTGTGTAAGGTTCCTACATCTGATGATTGACAATAATAAAATTCATCACATAAAATTCAGCATTATCACACAGATATTGAATTAATAACAACATTCATATGTAAATTAATATCTAATAAATATTATTTATTACGTCGGATTTGATATCACGAAAACATTTAAAGGTTTATATAAATACTCATTCATAAGCTTGTGCCAAATAAATCAACATTCTTATTATTTTCACTTGGTTGGCAAAGCACAAAGCTTTGAAGATGATATTTTAACAAAACTAGTAATTCAGTATACTTAGTACTTACCTAGGAATACTATAGTCAAGTAATGCAAACAGGTCCCAGTGGCTGCCACACAAGAATTATTTTCTTTTTCATTATTGTTTAAAGCGTTCTTCTGCGAACTATAATTAAATGTTAATTCAGGCGTTCTGGAAACAAACGGTAAATTGAAATATTTATTCGAAAATATTAATTGACAGATCGATTAAAATTAATCACGAGCACTCACACAGAATCTCTCATTGCTATACCTTGACGGTTCGTTAAAGTTACTAATAACGAATCGTCTTCGTTCATTCTGTTAAATACAGTGCAGTGTAATGAGAAGTACGCATACTAAAATGTACTCACTTACGTTTTAAAGTCTTCGTTGTGTATAATATAGACACCCTTATCTACGCCAGTAGGTGTGTTTTTATCTGAAAATTAATCATCTCATGTATTCTTAAGATCACAAATTGTTTATTTAACATTTTATTTTAGCTACTGGTTGTCGGAAATTTTATTATTTAAATGTTAAATTGTTTCGTTCAATTAGTTGAAAGTGTTTCTTTTTGTAGTAATTATGTAATACTTATTTGCGCTCATTTGACGGATAAAGTATTGATTTTATGATCGTACTATACAATAATTTGTTAAAGACAATGTGTAGTAATTCTCATCAAATTGTGTGGTAAATCCTGATTTTTAAAGCTAGGCTTTTGAGTTAATTGACGAGGGATATAGTCTTATTATAAGGGTTTCAAGTTAAGTAAAGATGGTCATTAATGTATCCAAATTTAAGGGCGATTGTGTAATTATTCGTTGCATAACATACAACAATAGCCAGTCAAGTAACACTTGATTTGGAGCAAAATTATATATAGTTAAATTTTGCTGTGTCATGGGTCACGAAGACCCATGACACAGCAAAAAAACTGACATTTACACAAATCCTTTTTCATATGCGACTTCATCAAAACTATATAGGTACTTGAAGATCACATAATAAATTCTTTATACACAAGAAATATCTAAATATTCTTGGCAAGTATAGTCGATCAATATTCTCGTATTCGTAATATTCTAGTAGCTACTGTGATTGTCAATACGCATCAATCAACTGACGACAAAGATTGCTTTGATTGCTCTCTATATGGAATCATTTTATCATGTACACACGAAACTTTACATGCGTTCTTTTATCTAGAAATAATGTGCGTATGTCAATTTGTGTTGAATACAAATTAGTATTGAAATTATAAATTAACTATGCAATAAATGAAAGAAGGTTGGGGTTAGATAATCGTATAATCATTAGTTATGGTACGAGTCTCATGTCGTAGATAAGTTAGCTGCTATATACTGGGCACAATTTCAAAATCCTTGCTACTTATAAGAGTATGTTTTATAAGCCATAAAAGACCCATAGTATTTTGCTGACTTTGGCTGCCTTAATGTTTGGGACAAGCCCGCCATAATCTCTCGAAACCGCTGCAACTCCTGTAAGCCAGGATCTACAGTAGATACAACCATGAAAACACCGGAACACTGAAGTGCAGCGCGTCCCAGGGACATGAATAACTGTCTTGCCCCGAGACGCCTTGCTCAGCAGTCATGCTTGCAGCCTCGTAGCACTACAATACATGAACAAACAATCTGAAACTACAGCTACCGAATAAAAAGAAATATTTGCCTAACGCAAGTAAAATTTGCGTCAGTGTAAATAAGAGCTTATCGCTGTGTAATTAAGGATGATAATCACAGAAACAAAGACTACTGAATTTAAAACAAACGTAAGGCTGTAACAATCAGATTAATTTCTATTGGGCAAATGAATACGTATTTGTGTGTACCGTATTACGTAATGGACTGGACTTCTTTAATATAACCTCCTTAAAAGGTTAACAACCTATCTTTTTAACTTTTTGGAGTTAGTAGGAGTAGAGAAAATGTTTATTCTTCTTAAAATACGTATTGATACATGTAGTTACATTAATGCTCACCCTCTATGTAATAGACTAGGGACTCATAATATAAATAGTAAAAAGTGGGTGTTACATTGTATAGTGGTATTAAGCACCGTAATGTGCACCTCTGCCTACCCCTTCGAGGATAAAAAGGCGTGATGTTATGTTATGTAATTACATTAGGTCCAAAGAAAAGGTAACCTTGTTGATTGAGCGCACGCAAGTACTATAGAGCTAGATTTCTTGGGTATTGCCGAGTTTTGTTAATTCTAAAGCAAATAGACACTTTTGCATTTTCATTTTGACGGAGCTAACTGTTACCTACATAAAAGAATTAGTAAATGTATAGACAATATCATAGGTAACCCTCTTGTATGTTTTGCAGTAGTTGGGTACAACTGGGTTTATCGAACTTTCAACTTTTCACGAAAAAAACGGGTGATATTTTACGATCAAATAAAATTCGACCACAAACATTGAAATTCGAGTCATCGGCTATGAAAAAAAAAACAAAAGCACTTTATAGTTCCCTCCATATGTCATTCAAAATATTCCCTTTATCTAGAAAGCAGTCGCAGGAATTCAGAACACGTAGAGGGTCCTGTTTTCTAGTTCAAAACTATTTTGTGAAACAAACGTTTAAACCTACAATTGTTTCAATTATAACATAACATTGTGATGTTAGGTTAGGTTTTAAGAGAATACTTGGCGTGACGTGACTACCTAGTATACTCCTAAAGGTCTGTGTAGACTAGGAACTTTTGTCCTAGTACTTATTTGCCTCTACTACAAGGGGTCAATTTTTCAATACTCAGATAAATTTTACCTGAGGAATAACTCTCGAAATTTCACAATTCCTCCATCCTAAATACTGTCAACTGTTAATTTTATTCTAAAGTTAAGAAACTGATGTTTGAAAAATCGGTCCTTATACCTCTTATTTTACAGTAAGAGTCTGACTTTCGCCTCATCCAGGCGGGAGAAGTCATACGACGATTTCCCCCTCTTAAAAAAGAAAATACCTCTTATTTTACCAAATACTATCAATATTAAAGTCGAGTATTAAATAATAGTAGATCCTTTTTAAAATGATTTCTATCTGTCTCTGCTAAGCATAAAATAAGTCAATTATAGAGGCAAATTGATTACTATTTTGACGTGAAGGAGTCACAACCATACAAACTGTCACATTTATATTTTTAGTTTATACAAACTGTCACATTTATATTTTTAGTAGGGTGTGAATTGTCGCCTACAATAATCCTACTTTCTAATTTTAGACCTACAATTGCTTATCCTATCACTATACATAAACAAAACTGTAAATAAACGAATAAAAAGATAATTTAATGAGGTCGTATTATCTTTTAAGCTGGTTCTATATTTGTAGTAGGAAATGTGAGAGATATTGTCTTATCTATTAGATTACCTCAGAGATAAAAGATAAAGGAAAATGCCACAGGATGACTATGCAAAATATAGCTTGGATAAACTTTCTACTTGTTATGACTGGTCAAAGTCTGTATTATGTTGTAGTAGCTATCTTTAGTCTAGTAGTAGTCAAGACTGCCTCGTTGGACGAGTGGTAGCAATTCGACTGCCGGGCAATTGGTCTCGGGTTTGATTCCCGGGTCGGGCAAAGTAATTTTTAAAAAATTCTCAGTTGTAGCACGGAGTCAGAAATTGTGCCCGGTATATGGCAATAGGCTCACCCCCTATTACATGGGACTCGTGACATAAATAGTGAAAAAGTGGGTGTTACATTGTACAGTGGCATATTGTGCACCTCTGCCTTCGGGGATAAAAGGCGTGATGTTATGTTATGTAGTAGGCAAAAAAATTCTTCATCATCGGGTACCTACTGTTTTAGTCTGTTGTAGAAAATTTGATTTTTTAAATTTTCCTTGTTAAAAACCGGCCCTGTTAGTTTACATGGCAATGACCGTTATAGTCTATAGGCCTATTCCTATAGAAAAATATATACTTAAAGATTTTTTTAATGCATAAGTTCCATGTTTTATGTTTATAGACTTGGTTGATAGTTTAAGCGTGTCTATTTGATGATGTCACGTTATTTGCGAAATGGGTTTAACAATCTCCAATTAGTCTGAACATTACAAGATCATTGCGCTAAGATGGCGTCTTATATTTTAATAGAATGCGTTCAACAGTAATACTTAATGACACACTACAAATAGTTATACTTAATCTCTTTATTATTGCTTTTGAAAATGGGTACACGTTTAATGAACCTAAAAATATATTTTCATAAACGTTTAAATTTTTCTTTCATGAAATATCTTTATATATATAATTCTTCTGTGAGTGTGTATGTCACTGAACTTCTCTCAAACAACTGGACCGATTTTGATGAAATTTTTTGTGTGTGTTCAAGGGGATTCACAAATCAGCCCCGCAGATGGCGCTGCAGTCGATGTTTAGGTTATTTATCCTAAACAGCTGAACTAATTTGAATGAATTTTTATTTATACATTCAAGTGGATATGCAGGACAACGTCTGTTGGGTCCGCTAGTATAGGTAATATATTTCTTTCATAATTTCTTTCAAACGTGTAAAAGAGTAAAAAATAAATTAATATCTACAAAGTAATTTAAAGTTATTTTTTATTACCGTTGCATTAATATTTTCATTATAGATGTCACCTAAAAATAATGTAATAGGGGCGAGAACACAACACTGCATTTTGGCGTTGCACCATATAAATTGTAATTAAAACTAAAACTGTATGTAGTATATTTCCCAGCCTTGCTTGGATGTAGTTCCTATTGTTCTTATGTTATACGGGAACGAAATATAAGTAAAACGAATGAAGGCTATTGACACACTATTTTATTGCGTTTTAATTTTTTTTCCAACTCAGCCACGCCCCATAGATCTTCTATAAACCATAGACAATCTATCACGATAGATTATTACGTACCACAGTTACATAATACTTCCTACGTTAATCTATTGCTAAAGCCCAAAATGCCAAAGTTTTAAATTCATTTTTTTAAACGTTGGCCCACACTAGGATTTTCTCCTGTTTCGTAGGTGCGTTCGCAAACATACACATAACACCCAAAACCGAAACAACTATTTGTGGATCACACAAAGAGCTGCTCCGTGCGGGAATCAAACCCGCTACACGTTGCGCGGCAGCCAATTGCCCAAACTCAGCGAAACTTAAAAAACTTAATACTTCTTAAAACATCCAAGTGTTTAACAACTTTAAATACTTTATCTGGAAAAATATGCGCAGGTAGGTAAACATAAGTTTAGTAGTAAAGAAAAGCTACTTCACTTGACCCAAGAAGATTTTATAGGTAGCTATTACAAGTAACAGGAAAACATCACGTTGTTTATGCTTATCCCCATTTGTTTACAGATATCCGATATCAATAGTTTTAACATCTCTCATAATATTTATACAAAATATTTGTTAAATTCGGACTCGGATTGGGACTAAAATTAAAACTTCTTTGTAATTAACCATTTAGAATAAGATAGCCTGACTGCCTCGTTGGCCTAGTGGTCGCAAGTGCGACTGCCGGGCAAGGGGTCTCGGCTCGGGTTTGATTCCCGAGTCGGGCAAAGTATTACGGGGTTTTATAAAAAAAATCTTAGTAGTAGCACGGAACCTGGAATTGTGCCCGGTATATGGCAATAGGCTCACCCCCTATAACATGGGACTCATAACATATATAGTGAAAAGTGGGTGTTCCATTGTACAGTGGCATAATGTGCACCTCTGCCTACCTCTTCGGAGATAAAAGGCCTGATGTTATGTATGTAATAAGATAAAATCATTCGGAACTTTGCCAGTAAGTTGAGATAGTTACTTAAGATATTTTCTATAACATTAATACCAAATTATTCGAATTTAATCACAATTGTTTTCTCAATTTAGTTAAGAAATAAAAATTCGTTGGCTTATTAAATATTTAACAAGTCTTAAATAATACATAATTAATTTATTACTCAAATATTCGAAAGAGAACATTTCTAAATTCGGAGCATAGCATATTACTCTATTAGATCTCCATGATACCAGCCTCTAAGATCTAAATTAGTGTGAAAATTTGCTCAGCTATTCTCAGAGCTTCTAAGATATTCCAAGTACTAGAATAACTCGAACTGGTTAACCATAGTGGTAGCAAACGGTAGCAAGCCGTCACTCCAGTTGTTTCCGTCGCTTCATACTGGGACATATTCAGTGTACAGTCCCCGACAAAACTGTATCAACGTTCCTGAACAAAACTTTTAAAAATAGAAATAAATCTGTAATTAATTTATTGATACTTAAACTTATCGAATTTCTGACTCATATGCTACTAAAACATAAACTATATTTTTTATGGTATTTATAAATGTCAAAAGGCGCATCGTTTGATGTATTCTAGTGTTGTCCTCAAATGGAAAAGATGTTTCGTCGCCAACTTATTCTTATCTATAAAATTTAGAGCTGACCACAATGATATTCAGAAATTTATTTTTTAAGGTAAATTCAATGATAAACAAGAAACCTCACAAAGTTGACCTATTTTTGTCGTTGACTGTACAACCCTAATAATGCATACTGGACATTTATGCGCTGCGAGGTATAAAAGGGATTGTGAATAAAATGCAAATGCGAAGCATGTTTACATAAATAAAAATAGCAAAATGTGTATTGGTTATTTTCAACCCAATAACGCTATTCTGTGTAGAGAGGTATTTGAAAATACCATCGTATATAAAAACAGGTCTTTTCTGGCTTTTTCCTAAATAGATTCAGTCCGGAATCGGGTTTTACCAGTTTCGGACTTTAGTTTAATTTTTTTCATAAATTGGAACATGTTATGGCGTGATATAAGTGGCCTGATATTATGGCCATTAGAGAGCCTGTTTTCGTGACGTAAAATATTATAGGCATCGTCATTGACAGTTAACTGTCACCCGTGAATGCTGATTAGGAAAGTCTATAATGACTTCAAAGATATCGGAGTGCTGCGTAGGATATGGCTCGGGTTTGACTCTGAGATCCCTAAATCAGGAATTATATGAACTTAGAGAAGACTTAATTGTAATGGATACCATATGTAGCTAGTATACAATAAGTGCGCATTTGTCAGTACTATAGGGACATTATAAATTTTAGAGATTGTAAAGCATTGAGGATTAGATAGTAGCAAATAAGTGCCGAGTCACTTTAAATATTGGGAAGCCATTATTAAAACAATGTAGGTAATTAGATTTTTAGGCCATCATAGGATAATATCATTTTTAAGTAATAAATTATTGATAAAACAATACATATTTAGCTCATTGTTATCGCGTAAGCTGTTACCAATTGATTTAATGAAGATATGAGGGTAACGCTGGGGGTGGACTAAGGCTAAATTGGAAAAGATACAAGTCATACACGGGATTAGTGTAAACCACGTGGATGACATATAAAGATTCATTCATATAAAGAGGTGTACAGCAATCATTATTTTCACCTTTATACATTACGGATCAAAGAAAAGGAACCACTACCATTTTTTCTTTCTGATTTCGTGATAAATATTTTCTGACACTGTTTCAGTAGTTGGTTACGTAACTCGTGTAAATGGCAATTTCGTTACATTTAAAATGACAGAATATTTTTGTACAATATTTTTTTTACAATATGGAGTGTTCGATATGGTCAACCGCCACTAGTGACCAAAGGCCTCATCTCACACGGAGAAGGTTTGAGCATTAATTATCACGCTTGCTCAATGCGGGTTGGCTATTTTAAATATAATAATTAGAAATTATAAGTCCAGGTTTCCTCACGATATTTTCCTTCACCGTTTGTCAGTGGTGTCTAAATAATCTTAAAAACTACATATAACTCGGAAAAAGTCACATTGTTACCTACTTCGCCGTTGGTAGGTTACGAAGGATAAGAGTGTTCGATGAAATAAAAAAAAAAAAACCGCTAGTGGCTCGGTTTCTTTGCTCCCAAGTGTAGTTTATTTTATAAAGCCTTGGGGCTTGTTTTACCACCTTCATATAAATACTTGATAAACTTATAATTTAATAACTAAAAAACTTATATAATACGTGATCTATAGATAGTGCATACAAATTACGTTCTTAATAAGATTTATCTGGTACTTAGTGCCAGCCTTAGCCAAGTGAAACAGGTCTTTCATCAGTGGATCTTTAGGTACTTTACGCATGAGTATTAAGTACTTGGAAATTGCAAAATGTAATAAAACTATTATTGGCCTGCAAACGATTTTAGTAACTTAGCAAGTTGCGCGCAGTAGCTGATTGCTAGTCCAATAAGCCGTCGCGTCCTAGCAATTTTCACGTAATGAATAAGATTTGTACATAAATAAACTTTACGTAACATAACATCACGCCTTTTTATCCCCGAAGGGGTAGGCAGAGATGCACATTGCGATACTTAATGCCACTGTGCAATGTAACATCCACTTTTCACTATTTATGTTATGAGTCCTATGTAATAGGGGGTGAGCCTATTGCCTTATACCGGACACAATTCCAGACTCCGTGCTACTACTATTTATTTATTTGCCCGACCCGGGAATCGAACCCGAGGTCTCTTGCCGGGCAGTCTATACAATATTTATTAAATATTCCGATCTTAACTTACATTATACATTACATCTTGTTACTTAAAAAACACGTTGTTGTATAATAAAAACGTTGTCTTTCCTTTTTAATTTCAAGTCGAAAATTGGGGTCGTAGCAGTGACCAAGTTTTTGCCGGGTCACGATACAAGTATTGTTATTGAGAAGATGTCAACAGTTTGCACGCCATGAACATAAACAATGGCTCCCAGACACATCATTTCGTATCTTAATGAGGATTGATGAATACTGCACCACAAATATATTTGCAAAGAAAATTATAACACGCGTTACGAATTTGAAAAATGAGTTCGTTGATTTCGTGTGTTATAAGAGACAATAACAGAACAACTTACTTATACGTCATCAATTAAAATAATGAATGCCATTTAAACATTTTCCAAGAAACGCAATATTGTAAATCGACATTATTAGAGCGTGAAGAGGTCACGAACTTAGTTCACCGAGAAAATTTTCAATCAGACAAACCAGCGAACTGAAGAAATAGTAGCAAGACTTCGGAATGAGGTATTGAATAGTCTGAATGTAAGGTAAGCAGAAGAGAAGGTAAATGTGTTTGATGTCAATAACAAGTGCAAGTTATTATGAGCCTTCCTTACATGTACCTAAGTACCATCGCTTCTGAATGCAAGTACCTTACCACGTAACGTACCTATATATCTTATTATAATAAATAGCTAGTACTTGCGTACTCAACGTGTAGGCGACAAGACAATTAATTACCACTGTTGTCTTTATTTATAACCAGCATTGTATAAAATTCAAGAGTACCACATGAAACACGACACAATTGATATTAATAATGCGTTCACAATTTGTTATTTTCAAAATTATTTTGTTCTAAGTCTTTTATAAGTAGCGAGCATTATTTCAGTAAAAGAGCGCCTTTAATAAATAATATTTTTAATAACGATATTTATAATATATTATACGTAATTGTTTACATAAAAAAATAGTAATACTTACTATCAAACATTTTCCTTGAAAAACGAAAGCTTCGATCACTTATATTTGGAGTACTTATAAAATAAAAAACTTTTACACTGTTCAGTAAACACGGACAATCGTGGACAGGGACATGGCTCATGAGGTATTAGTCGAATGAGCGTCGCGACCCGCGGATCGTGCTGCCTGCGGGCACGTCACGAACCACCAATAAATACCCATTATTATCATTTAGCTACGTTATTTTCACATTGCTATTGATATAACAAACTTATTAAGATCAGATTATTTTGCAACGTAAAGATGTATGTCACACTATCACTCTCTTATCAGTTTATAAACACAAATATTTTTTGAATGTAAATTAAATAAATTGCAAGGTTTTTCGTTGACAGCCTTGGCGAGTAATTAAGATGTTTTAGTTCTTCAATGAGTTTGTTAATCTGAGTAACTAGGCGTTAGGTTCGCAGACCACGCTATGGGGAGCCTGTTACTGACTGAGTGCGGTCTATAATGTGACAATCGACCAAATCGTACCTTTGCATAACCATTTCCATCAAATGCTAACAATTCCTTGCTTAGCATCTAGAATCCACTGCTAATAATTCTTGTGTAGCCACTTTCTGTTGGTATATTTATATTCCCATTTTAATAGGAGGCATGCTAAACACTAGGTCCAATCTAGTCTTGAATTTAGAAATACTTTCAGAAAATGTGATACTTAATACTTGACAATGTAATTCTTTTTCTGGTTCAGGAGTCGAACCCGAGAGCATTCTACGTTTCTCTTTTAATTTAAAACTGCATGTTATCGTAACATTTCTTCACAAAAAAATCGCTCAGGGTTTACCCATGATATTTCTCTATTGTTTTGTAATTAATTGTATCAAGTGTTTCTTTAAACACGAAATGCGTAGACAATGCCAATGTGATTTATAAATATACTAGCTTTTACCCGCGGCTTCGCTCGCGTCACAAAAAGATAAAATTTAAAAGCGAAGAATACTTAAAAAACAACGCTATTCCGTTTTATAAACACTCAGCGCCATCTATCGCCAAGTAGCGTAACTACCACATAGACACCAATTTCGTGTACCTTTAACAACCTAAAATCTATAAAATACCCAATTCAATGTAAAATGGTAGGAATCAAAATTTAAAACCGATAAAAATACTTAAAAAACAACGTTACCCCGTTGAATATATAATAATAAACACTCAGCGCCATCTATCGCCAAGTAGCGTAACTACTACATAGTCACCAATTTTGTGTACCTTTAACAACCTAAAATCTATAAAATACGCAATTTAATGTAAAATGGTTAGAACCAAAATTTAAAAGCGAAAAATACTTAAAAAATAGCGTAACTACTACATAGACACCAATTTCATGTAACTTTAACAACCTAAAATCTATAAAATACACAATTCAATGTAAAATGGTAGGAACCAAAATTTAAAAGCGATAAAAGTACTTTAATAGCACAACGCTACCCCGTTTTATAAACACTCAGCGCCATCTATCGCCAAGTAGCGTAACTACTACACAACGTTACCACGTTGTGTTTTTTAAGTATTTTTACATAAAAAATAGCAAATAAATGAGTCGAAAAGCGCACTGAATAAGTGTAGATTAACACCAAATAAGCGCTATAGATTAAAGCTTGAAATTTCCAATTAGTAGGTAATTCGTTGAATTGTTTTAGATGCCACAAAGCGCCATCTACAGGAATACACACAGCGCCATCTATACTAATATTTTTGTTTTCCCTCGGGAATATCACATTTTTCCGGGATAAAAAGTACCATATTATTTAATCTGGACTTCTAACTTTACGTCTGCAAAATTTCAAAGCAATCGGTTTAGTAGTTACGGCGTGAAGGTGGAACAAACAAACAAACAAACAAACTCACTTTCAGATTTATAATATTAGTAAGGATAAGCGGATCGTTTTCGTGTTATAAAATATCCTCATGAAATTTATTTGTATTCTCTTGTTATAATTTCTTAAACGTAGACAAAAATATTTACTATTTCTTTTCCTTATAATCTGGTTTGTACGGCTGTGTTTCTTTATAAATGTTTTCCGAATATACGTCTATAAGATCATTTTATAAATAATTAATTATCAGAATACAAAAACGTAGTACAGTAACTACGTAAGGAAAAATAATATCATGTTATAATTTAACGTAAATCGTTTCATTCGAACTTATGAACCAACCTATTGTTAAGTGTTAAGTTTATTAATACCAAGAAAAATACTACTTAAAATATATTCATACATAGTTATTTAATTTTACATAACATAACATCATGCCTTTTACCCCCGAAGGGGTAGGCAGAGGTGCACATTACGGCACTTAATGCCACTGCACAATGTAACACCCACTTTTCACTATTTAGGTATGTTATGAGTCTCATGTAATAGGGGGTGAGCCTATTGCCTCATACCGGGCACAATTCCAGACTCCGTGCTTCTACTGAGAATTTTTTAAAACACCTAGTAATACTTTGCCCGATCCGAGAATCGAACCTGAGACCTCTTGCCTGGTAGTCGCACTTTCGACCACTTGGGCAACGAGGCAGTTATTAGTATTACTTCTTTTTTACTATTCTATTTTCTGACACATGAATAAGAAAATTTGGCTTTATTTATACATACACTGCATAGTTCCTGCAGAAAATAGGAATTTTTGACCCGGTCATTAAACCATAGACCTTGTACTGTCAGCGAATTTGCATTAGATCAAAGAGTTACATTTTTACACATCATTGTTTGCTAATTATACTATCTTGGTGTGAGACAATATTTATTTGATGTATGTATTTTAGAAGCAATTTTTAGGTATACAAACGTATGTCTTTCGCCATGGGGGTTTACAGAAGTTGAATTGTGATACCTTCTGTTGATTTTGAGATTTAACCTGTCTTGTTTTGTATAGTGACATTCTAAAACTGTCAGATTTTAACTTTAATTTGACATAGTAATGAGTTTAGATTGAATTTGAAAAACTACGTACTGTATTGCAATAGAAAAAAGTAAAAAAGGATAGTAGTTTGGATTCAGTAATGTAGATCCACAACTCATAGTACATTGGTACATCTGCTATCGCTAAGTTGATCTAAAGACGAATAATTACTTAGTCGATGCATTTAAGTTATCGATCAATAAGTTTTGACAACTGTTCTAGCAAAAATTTTCTTTTTTATATTAAACTTTGCCCCCCACTAGGATTTTCTCCTGTGCCGTGGGTGCGTTTACAAATATACCAGTTCACATACAACAATTTGTGGATTACACAAAAAATTGCTCCGTGTGGGAATCAAACCCGCTACACGTTGCGCGGTATCCGATTGCTCAGCCATTGCACCAACCGTGCAGTAATGCAGACTCAGTGCTGATGCAAAAATAGTTGAAAAAGGATACATACATATGTATGAACTTCATTTTCCAATCCTTTAATTTAATTCACATGAATTTGACAAACTTCTTCCTTACTTTAGGACGAAACGTTGATGCTAAGCTACACTGCTAGTTTTATTAATTTTTAAATCTATATGAATGGCACAAGCTTTATTGTAGGTGAAAATTTTGGCGCCGTGCCCACATATTGTCAGGGTAGGAAAATCTTGGACAAAAGAATTTGGGAGTATAAATCTGAAAAATGATAGAGAATACCGTCGTTAGAGAGTATTCCTACTATAACTATGTAGATGTTCGTGCTAGTTGGTAAGTATAAAATATAGGTATAATCAATTTATACAAACAGAAAATAATAATAATAAAAAGAATATTATATTATATTTATTGTGAAATTTTGAAGAAAGAATTTTTCAAATCGGTCCGGTAGTTTCGAAGCCAATTCAATTCAAACAAACAAACAAAAAATCACATCTTTCCTCTTAATACTATTAGTGTAGAGTGATTCTGATGAGATTTGTTACACAGCATTGCCATTAACCTTGGAAAGACTAATTTAAAAAATCTAAATTTGACAGAAGTCATTATTATACGCGGACGAAGTCGCAGGGAACAGCTAGTATTTTAATAAATAGGTTAATTGACCCTTAATATTGTTTTTATATAAGTTTTATGGCATCTTACTCACACGAAATGGAATGCTAAAATAAATACAGTAGCCTTCAAAATTATCTTTTGTTTACCTTTCTTGTTCTGTCATATGATTTTCATTTGTCTTAATAATCTAAATTAGACTTTGGCTGAAAAACAAAATCTTATTTACATTAAATTTTTAGGTAGCTAAATCCAATCAATGCTATAACCATAGTATTCGCAATTCTGATAAACATCAAAAGTTTTTTTAATAAATACCTGATTAAATATTTGATTCTACGAAGTTGGGTCCTTATTCCATATTCATGGCTTATCTAAGAGAATAAGCAAGGTGAACTTATCCAAGTTCAAACAGGTCATAGAAAACAAAGACGTGTTTACAAAAATACATTATTTATTGAACATCTATATACTGGAGCGAGTTAGGGGTATTGTTTCGTCGAACGAGGTTCGATGACACCGGCGGTGATAGCGTCTGCGACCGGTAAAAATCTGGAAATAAATTGTAAGAAAGGGTTAAATGTAAGGAACACGGAATAGTAGGTGCTATATTTTTACATCAGTTACGTGAGTTGGTTTTTCCCTTAGGAGTAATGAAAAATTATAACATAACATCACGCATTTTACCCCTAAAGGGATAGGCAGAGGTGCATGTTACGGCACTTAATGACACTGCAATGTAGCATCCACTTTTCAAAATTCTCATATAATGGGACTCATAACTCAAATAGGGGGTTTGAGCCTATTGCCACATACAAGAGGTCAATTCCTGGCTCCGTGCTACTACTGGGAATTAAAAAAAAAACCCAGAAACTCTTTGCACGACCCGGGAATCGAACCCGAGACCTCTTGCCGAGCAGTCGCACTTAAGACCACTCGTCCAACGAGGCAGACAAAATTATAAATCGTGCATTGTTTTAAGTTCGTACAAAAAACATTTTACTTTTTATATCTGAAAATGCACAGCATTTAAAATTGTGACCAATAAGTTTCGCTTCTTTTTATACGGGATACATGACATATACATAACATAGCTAATAGCGCAATGTATGAGTGAATCTTAAATTCTTCGATAAATAAAAGGTGGATAAATTATTTTA